TTTTTTTTCTCTTGGGAGAAGCCATGTACGCTGCCTTTTTGTAAAGCTGATTTATTCCGGGATCAAATCTATGTAAAGGGCCATTTGGGGAGCTACTATACAACCTTTCGTTAAGGATAGTGTTAGGTAAAGTTTTGAGTTCAATACTGTTCCTGCGACCGGGAACGAAAAAGCCTGTGCTAACTATGACTTATTACTTATTTATAAGCTACTCATTTTGGTAGTTGGGTAAACTAGTCATTACTCTACTCTACCCACCGCTATGCCATTTCTTTCTTGTTTTGATAGTCTGCTGAAACAACTAGTCATAACTATCTACAGATATATTAACTGGTTTGGAAATGGTTCACTCTGAAGTGGAAGCATTCGGTGGAGATCCGAAAAGGGTCACCCTCATGGGCCATTCTCAAGGTGCAAGTGTGGCTGTGGTGTTCGCAGTGTCCAGGTTGTCCATAATATTCTTTTGAAACTTATCTCCAGTACAACATTATGTTTTCATTTTCCTTACTAGTAATGGGAGCTAGATTTCTAGCTATATAACGTCTTCAAAAGACCATTCCATGACTGAGCTCCCTCTGGGGTAAACGGCCAGACATTAGGCAACAAAGGAACTGCTTCGAATTCAAATTCCAATCAATTGACCTCGATGCCGAAGTAATCTTCGGCTGTACCTGTACTTTCATGATCCTTTGCTTTTCAGTATTATCGACCCCGCTCACCGGCTATTTCAACAGGTCCTGGCATTAAGTCCTACGGTAAATTACCGTATCACATCAAATCGTATTGATCTGACATGGCGATTAGCCCACGAAGTAGGGGTGAGTATATTTTCAACTCTCAAACACTTGTCCATCACCTCAGAATAACACAATATCTTAGTGTGCACATTCCCCCTCTCCTCCCGACACCACCAACTCGTCACAAGTCGCAGAAATGGTGGCATGTCTGAGGAAGGTGGACGCTTTGGATTTGTTGGCCAAGCAGAGACTGATCGAAGATAGGGACGGATTGGTATTTGATGGAATCGTTTATGGACA